AGAGAGAGAGAGAGAGAGAGAGAGAGAGATTTCCATTTTATATAGTTGTTAGATGCTCTGGTCCTAGTATGAAAATCTGAAAAACAAGAAGTGGAGCCACTTTGTCTTGGTCTGTTGGAGAGTGGAGCAATGGCTGATGTAAAGCAATCTTAGAGATCAAAATGTAGCTCCCTATTATTTCTAGGTCTGTGGTACACTCATGTATGCATACACATTCAGACAATGTAGTCTTTTGAAAATCGAGTTAACTTTGTCGTGTGTACAGTGCAACAAATGTGTGGTACACTTAAATAGAAATGTAGTCCACACATAAAATTCACTACTCCCATCCTGACACCCCCTTCCTGAAGATTGCTCTTGTAAGTAATTAATCATAGAAATTCAATTTCTGACATGGTCTTCTAAATTTTCTTACCATGCAATACCGGTGAGTCTCTGTTAATTAGTTTTAGTGGCTGCAGTGTATAAAAATGTACCTTCAATCTATGATTAATGACCAAATTAGTAATTTTTTGTTAAATTTAAAATCCTAGAAAGACTTTAGCAAATCTTTAAAGTACATGAAACAGAGGTTATCAGTATCTGTTAAACATAGTAGCCTCTTGTTGTAGAACCCTCTCCATTAAATATTTAATAAAATATATAATTAATTTTAGTGAAATATAATAATAATACCTTGATTTGAATTCCTAAAATATATAGTGGATCACCAGTGTTGGAGCCCCTTGTAGTCGAAATGCACATTACTGTCCTGTCCTGGAAAGTCACAAGTTGCAGTATTTTCTTGTATAATAAAATGAGTGTTATAGGAGATACTACAAACGGATTATCAGGGGGAACAGTGCAGACTGACTTGGGGTGTGGGGGGCTAACACTCATGCAGTGTCACACTGCCTGTTTAGTCATAGCAGGAGACAGGCTCCTAGTGGTCTAGCTGAGGAAGGCTGAAGAGGAGCAGTGATGCAGAGAAGCTGCAGTATGGAGTCATCAGGAGGGAATCTGGATCAAATGCAGCTGCAGCCTGGCATAGCTGTGGTCAGTAGTGAGGTGCTTGGGGCAGTTGCAGGAGAAAATAAATGAAAATGCCCACTGGGGAATGTTGGACCCTTCCTTACACTCTCAAAGATGGGGGGGCATACTATCACATAGGTAATGCTATTATAATAATAAGGAGGACGCCCTGTCTACAAGATCTAAAAGAGCTTAAAGGTCACCTCAAAAGTTTATTTAGAGAGAAGTAAGCAATTCTAGAAATAACAAACAGCAAGGAAGAGGGATGAAGTGGGATGATTTCAAAGTTGGTGGTCTGGGATTGACGATTCTCCCTGCCATGCTGTGTTCTGAATTTAGAAGGCGGAGAAAAGTTGAGAGAAGGAGAGAAGTCTTGCTCAAGTTTGAGTGAGTCTAGTAACGATCATACTAATATTGGAGCTCATCACTTGTGACAAAATCAAGGGTGTGCAAAGGGCTTAGGTGTGACCAAATTTCCAATAACAAAGCTTGACTAAAATAGTGTGTGTGTGCTACATTGTTTGTGTTTGAAGAAGCATGGTAGATATGAAGTTCACAGCAACTCAGCATGGAGTGACTCTAAACTCTGATTTTAACCATTGAGAGGAATCAAAGAGACTAAAGTGAATAGTGAATAAAAGGCAAATGATGTATAATTTACAGGCAGAGTGTATGGCCTTGTAATTTATAGTTGAAAGAGCCAAAAACATGTCCTCCATATGTGCATAGGTTTACATATTTAGGTGTTCACGTTTTGTGCAGTCCATGCAAGATTAACTTAGGTCAAGTCATTTAGGAATGAGGGAGATGAGGCTCTTTCTTTGGAAGATCCAAACCATTTTTAACCAACCTTTTGACTTCCCTGCACCTCAGTGAGTAAAAAGACATTGTCTTGGGCCATGTACACAGTACCTATTATAGTGAATGTCTGTGAGTAGCAAATCTTCCTTTTGAACATTTTTAACTTACTAAACTATTTTATGAAAAATACAAGCAGTATAAATTTAATAAATAAAAAATGTAACAAATCTACTTAACAACAATAAACAACTTTCTCACATGCACACAAGAACACAGGGTGAAGTATTATCGGTAATCACTACATTTCACTCACCAAATTGACAGAGGACGCACGTGTCTGAGTTCCACAGGTTTCCATTTGACTTTGGGTGGCAGAGGCAGGAGGCACAATTAGTTTTACGCAACGTCCTCCTCTAAACAGCCTTCTGCTTTCCCTGCACCATCTGCTCTTGAGTACCTCCCAAGTGAGTCATAAAAAGTATCTCAAAAGTTATGCAACAGTGCCTTTTTCAGCAGCACACATACTAAAATTGGAATGACACAGAGAGGTTTAGCATGGTCCATGTGCAAGAATAATGGACATATTTCATAATAAGGCAGGCACCATAGTAGCATTCATCTGGTAGGCTGAAGCAGGAGAATTTCAAATTTGAGTCCAGTGAAGGCAACTTAGCAAGGTAGTACAACCCTGTTTCAAAATCAAACATGAACAGTTGGAGATGTTTCTCAGTGGGAAAGAGCCTGGGTTCAATTCCAGGTAACACACACACAAACACACCACACACACACACACACGATTGTTAGTGATAATGTTAAGATTTATGATCTTATAGGTCTATTTTAGGAGCTGTGTAATGTTGTACATATCCTGAAGACCCTAGATTAGACTTGCCTGGTCTAGCCAGCGGCTTGACTCCAAACTTTAATATTGAGGATTGATAGCAATCATGTGAGCATCAATTCAAATCATAATTCAGTGTTACCTGGAAGGAGCAGGGAGGATATGAGCCCAACACATACAGAGAAGCTAGAAGTAATAGGATTTGGGGCCTCTGACTGTTGGCATCTGCATCTGATTGGGCAGCGTGGTAGGAGGAAAAACTAGTATCTCAGTTTTTTATTGTTGTTGTTTTGTTTTTTATTTAGTACAGGTATTTAGTGCAGATTCTACAAGGTTTCACTATATAGATTGGACTTGTAGTAATCCTCCTGCTCTAGCCTCCCAAGCACTGGGATTATAGGTGCGCGTCACCAAACCCAGTCTCAATCACCATCTCAGTGCATCCTGGGGAGTGGGATCGAACCTCAGCTGCTGCACTCTGCCTAAACAGGTGCTTTAGTCCGCTGCACTATCTGGCTGGCCCAGAACAAGTATCTTAGATCAAACTTTCTGTCCTGTAGTTATGAAATATGCATCTCATTGCCATTAGATTTAACCGAGAATCAGAGGTGGCATGCTGCCCTCAACAATGACGCTTGCGCTCTGTTCTGAGTATATGGTATGTACTGATGCATTGAATCCCTTCAACATCTTCTCAGTTCCTTCAGTCTGTCCTGATATTATCCACAGAAATATAGTGGTGAGGAAACCAGGACAGAGAAATGTAGTAATTTTTCCAGGGATCCAGGCAATTAGTTATGGCAGTCACATGACACACTCAGACACCCAGACTCCTGAGGTTGAGCTCTTCACTACCACCATGCTCTCCACCATGAGACACCACAATGACCAAAGTCCAAGGGGACAGGTTGCAGCTGGCAGCACCATGGTCTCATCTGGGGGTCAAGTGCAGACTCACCATGTCTCAGGTCAGTGGGCTAGTTCTGTGGTCCATGGCTCAGATATATTGGTAGAGCACAAAAGAGAACACACCCTTCTTTCAAAAGCAAATGTCACATACAATTCAATATTTTATCAAGTTTTCACCACTGGTTTTTCAGCTCTTTGCTGGTGCTGAGAGGAAGACAGAATAACCTTGAAGGTCCCTAATGTGAGGGCTCAGAACACTGAAAAGACAGGAACACAGCAAGAAAAAAAAAAAAAAACTTTTCATATTTTCACCATGTATGTAGTATATCCTGGGCTCAGCCTGAGACTTGAATTGAAAGTCAGTTTACTTTCTGAGACAGACACCACTAATAAGATGGCCAGAATATATGGATCTATCTCGGATTCCCAGAGTGTTCTCTCAGTAGTAAATCTCCACCAATACATGTTATCTGTACTTGGTTCTAGCAAATAATGCTCTTTTGAAAATCTGAAACAGTACTTCATCCGAAGATAGTGCTGTATGGTGTCTTTTCTACTTGGATTTTATGGAAGCTGTGAAGCTTTTAAGGAGCTGATAACTCAAGATTGACAACGAAATGCGTCACTGTGAGGTAACTGAATGGGCTACAGGTTCATACATCTTTTTGCTGTTCTTTTTCCATGAGATTGAAATCAAGTGTCTCCATTTGATTCACAGATTTTCATTTTTGTTTCATAGGAAAGTTGGGGAGATTTTGTCTGAAATATTAATCCCTTGGGATTCTGTCTGAAACACAAAGAACTCTTTCATCTAATGTTATATTTGCATCTCTCTTTCTTGCCAAACTTATTATTTTTCCTACCATTCTTAACTTTTGTTTGGACACTGACAAAATAAAGTGGTTAATGGTGAATCATTATGAATACTTAATTTTGTGTATGAAGAAAGCATAGAAATCATGATCATAAGAAGATTGTGTTTGGATTAAATTTTTCTTTTATAATTTGAACATAGTGTTCTGCCTTTCATATGAAACTCAACATATTTGTCTATTTTTTTCTGTGTACTTAAAACTTTTTACCGACTTGTTGAGAATCTCCACCAAGTAGCAGAACTTCAGGCAGTTAAAGAGAGGCAGTTAACTCTTATGAAAATGATACTGTTGAGGGCTACAAGGAAAGCCAACATTTTGGCCCTAGTCTTCTAAAGTCAATTAAGACTCAGGACATATGAGAACTTGTACTGTAACGTCATGTACCTCGGTAGTGTCCCA